CAAATACTGCGACATTCAGAGCACAAATACTGCGACATTCAGAGTACAAATACTGCAACATTCTGAGTACAAATACTGCAACATTCAGAGTACAAATACTGCGACATTCAAAGTACAAATACTGCAACATTCAGATTACAAATACTGCAACATTCAGAGCACAAAAACTGCGACATTCAGAGTACAAATATTGCAACATTTAGAGCACAAATACTGCGACATTCAGAGCACAAATACTGCAACATTCATAGCACAAATACTGCGACAGACAGTACAAATACTGCGACAGACAGTACAAATACTGCGACATTCAGAGAACAAATACTGCGACATTCATAGCACAAATACTGCGACAGAGCCCAAATACTGCGACAGACAGTACAAATACTGCAACATTCAGAGCACAAATACTGCAGACAGACAAGACAGAGTATAAAACTTACTGTAATCAGACCCCTCCATCCCTCCCCAGGTGTGGATCCCATGCCCTCAGTGCCGACAGAACACGCCTCGGCCCAGAGGAGGAGCAGCGGGGCTGGACCTGGATCTGGCCTCCTTCCTGGGTGTGAAAGCCCAGCAGACCTGCTCATCCACCTGGAGTTCCAGCCGCAGGGAGGGGACTCAAGCCGGAGATGTAACCCAGGATGGGAAGCTGTGGCTGGGGAAGGAGGTCACCGATGAAGGCTGGTCACACGGAGGTCTTGCTGAGCCACGTTTCCATCGCTACGGCAACTGCTGCCCGCTGCCATCCTATTGGTTGTGCTGCTGGCTGTGCTGCCCGGGCCGGGGCTAGGACTGACCAATGAGAGTGCTGACCTTTACTGTTCTTTAGTGTTGATTAGTTTATTATTTAGTTTAACATAAGTATGAAAATGTGCAGTACACATAAATATACTATTAATACGAGTACTATAAACGGTACGATCAGTGGAATAAAGACGACGCTGCTGTGAAAGAAATATTTATTCAGAATTACATATTTTACAAAAGAAGCAACATTTAGCATCCATTCGCATTATTTTACAGCTTCCTGACCAAACACAGGCTTCCTGTTGGTTTCCACCAATCAGGTCCTTCAGACACATCTGACAGCTAACAGCAGTCAACAGCTCTGATTGGACAGCAAGAAGTGACAATAAAGTTTCAAACATTCAAAGTGTTTCAGTGGACGGAAGAACTTTTTATTTCACTTTGTGTCAATTTGCTTGTTTGTTTATTAAATATTATCGAATGTTTGTTCAGTTTCTGGGCGAGCAACATAAAGTAAAGACAGAACAGAGAGAGAGAGAGACCGAGAGAGACAGAGAGAGAGAGAGGTTTGGCATTTCCACCTTCATTAGGCACAAGGCATTCTGGGAGTTTGAATCCTTGTCATAAAAACATTGTTATGTCCTCCCCAGCTTCGTTACAGACAAAATTACCAACAAGGCCTTTAACTCCTAAAATGTGTATTGGATGAGTCTCCAGCAGTTCCTCATCATCAGGCTCCTCCCCCTGAGTCTGCAGCTCGGCCAATCAGAGGCTGCCGAGCCCCTCTCCCACTCTGATTCGCTGTCCTGGCTGCAGGTTGAAGATGAAATCTTTGGGAGCTTCGAACAGCAGAACGATGGTGGAGCCGAGGTTAAACTCGCCCACCGCCTCCCCCTTCTGTAAGGCCACGCCCCCACCGTCAACAGAGACCACGCCCCCTTCACCTGCCACATTAAACACCTGGTCGGCGGCGGCAACATAGCTGTGATCGTGGAAGGATCCTTTACTGTAGCGCGGAGCATTGGTCTGAAGCTCCTGGGGATGATCAGATAATAAAGTATTAAAAATATTTGTAATAGTTAATTAATAGTTAATAGTTAATTAATAGTTAATAATTTTAAAACGTTCAGATTTTCTGGATCAAAAGGAAAAATGATCTAAAACATTAATTTCCTAAAAATACTGAACTAATAACTGAATAAAAATCAAAAAGTACTACTGCAGTACAAATACCTTGTCGAAGTAGACCCTGATGGAACCGACGTTTGTGGCTCCCACCGCCGTTAATGAGAAGAAGCCGTGCTGCCATTGGCCGGTGAGCACCACACGCTCGTTAAGGCAGAAGAGCTCTTTGACCAAACGAGCCACGCCCGGGTTAACCGACATTAACGAGCCTAACGAGGACAGAGAGAGAGCTGCAGAGGAGCAGGTAGACAGCACACAGCACACAGGTGAACAGGTGAACACACTCACCTGGGAAGTGACGTCGAAGCTCCACCCTCCAGTCTGTGGGCGAATGGAAACAGTGGTAGTCACCTGGAGCCAGGTAGACCACCACGTGGAACAGCTCATTATCAGGAGACGACAGCAGGAGGTCCTGAAAGGACGACGAGGACTCTAAAGACGGAACAGAGTCACTCAGGTTGTGAACCCAACAGGTCTCCAATCAAGACAGGTTCATTCCAAGTCCTAAGCGGTGTCTTGAGTCCAGACATTTTACAGTTTTAAACTTGCTGTCGGTTCAGGACACATTGAATGTCATTGTTAGTTTCATTATTTGTTTCTTTGTTCGGGGTCAGTGCATCATGGGAAGTCCCCCGGCAGTCTAGGCC